CGAAGTTCACAGGTCTCAAATGGAAGTGGATTCTAGCTGTTTTGGGGGAAAAAGAGCAATCTAGCAAGTAAACTATTGTATTTATAATAATGCTGATTCATTATAAGCAAATAAAGAAATTACAAACCAATCAGAAAAATATGAGGGCCAAAAGCGCAAAACTTGCAAAGCAGCACTGAGGAACACAATTACAAAATGGACAAGTAAACTGATGCCCATGTATGTACATTAGAATGCTCTGGGTGTCCAAAGGGTGGAGAGTAAGTGCCATTACTACTGCTGAAGAAAAATAAACTGTTTTCTACAGTACACAAAGACTACAACTTACACTGGAGGTCTATAAGGCAAATTTTTTTTTTTTTAAAAGCCCCACCAATAAAGTATTCCTACATCTATAATACTAGAATAAAAATGAGTTCTACGTGTGCCATGACATGTAGAAAGACCCAAGATTATTAAGTGAAAAAATTATAATACATTCCATTGTGTCTAAAGGGAAAATTCACAAGAAACTTGAGCGGTACCTTGAGAAAGAAGAGTGGGATGGAAGGAGTCAGGGAATTTTCACCTCTTACCCTTCTGTAGTTTTAGAAAAAACAAACCCTTAGTTGTTAACCAATGTCATAAAACAATATGTGTACTACTGTTTCATGAGAAACTATTTGTTTTGCAAGCCTTCACCTGAAGTACAATAAAAGAAAACAAAACAAACCCTGAGACTATGGCCACCAGACACAACCTGCTAACTCAGAAATGAAGCCACTCCCAAAGTCCACCTTTCAGCCAAAGATTATACAGGCCTATAAAACAAACACATGAGGAACATGCTTCTTAGTTAAATCAAGTACACAAGACCAAATGGACAACACCTGCTCAAAAGCAAAGACGAGAAGGCAGGAAAGATAGGAAAACTGAACGAATGGACACAGGGAACCTGGGGTGGAAAGGGAAAGGGGGAGAGTGCCGACACACTGCGGGGATTGCAACCAATGTCACAAAACAATTTGTGTATAAATTTTTTGATGAGAAGCTAATTTGTGCTGTAAACTTTCAACTAAAGCACAATAAAATTTAAGGAAAAAAACTGGAGAGAGAAAAAGAAAACAAAATATGTATTATGTTTGGTTGAACATTAAAGAAAAAAATCATGGATCAGTATTTTGGGATAGTGGCTGAAGAGGACTGTGATCTCTAAAACCATACTAATGCAGACACAATCACATCTGAAATTCTTCAACATACTCAAATGGTGTATTAAATGAAGGACAACATTTTTTTTAAAATGAATCACATCATCAAAAAGAGCCACAAAACTTTACTTGGACAATCATATAGTTTGGTAATACAAACGAGAAAGTCTTGCAAAAGCTCTAGTATGTATGCGAGGGTTTGCTCAAATAATCCTGTAGTGTAATAAACATTTAGACTCAATGTTAGAGCTAGAGGGGTCCTCAGAGCAAACCTCATTTTATGTTTACCTCCAGGCTATGTTACTCCAGTAATAAAAACCCCAGGAGTTCTATTTCAATAACAAAAACAACTTGTAGAAACTTATGGACTCATTTATTTTGACCATATGCCTTTTAAAAAGATCATGAACTTCTTCAGAACAGGGGCAGAGTCCACTTGGTTCTCTGCGATATGCACAGCACCTAGTATCTACCAGATAGAGGTGCTCAACACAAATTTTTGGAGGAAACAAGGGAGGGAAGGCAACTGCTGTGCAAAACTATGAGTAATCATAACTTCTGAGTTAAAACAGGGACAAGATTAAAATGTGAAAATTGGTTTCTCTGGATTGGAAAAGACATAGTGCCACATATGAATACATGCCTAAAATCTTATTTTTTGCTTTTTTGTCAGTGGAAGAAATAAAGTCACAAGAATATTAAAGTCTAGAAGGCACTAGGACTCCCTCATCTCTACTTTGGAATTCACAGTAAGAAAAATCTATTACTGAAAGATGCTATAGAATAGGACCTGAAGTTTTGATATCAAATCCATCAGCTGTGAGGAGACGAGGAGTAGAGGGAAAACAGACCTAGTTAGTTTAAGGACTGATGGACATGAGCTATCTTTGGTTACTAAGGAAGGTAACCTAAGAGTAGTGCTTCTCAAACTATATGTTAACAACCAGTTTTAACCCCCAAACTATCATTTTGTCAGACATACTTTTATTAAAAAAATTTTTTACTAGAAAAATGATCACATGCTTTAATACCACAGCAATATTAAATTGCACTGTAAGTTTCTAGACACTCTCAATTTCTGTGCTACTCCACAGATGCACTTTTTTAGTGGCGCTGACCCAATTTTGTTTTTTAATGTAAATCTGACCTAAAAATCTTGAGTCCATCTAAAGAGGGCCTGACTCCAAGTAAGAAAATCTAGGTGTTTTCCCCACCCCATTCAAGAATGAAGATAACTCATAGAAACAACTAGAGACAAAAGGCAGCATAGAGACTGTCATTGTTTTTAATTTCAAAATGTAAAACATTTCATTGACACAATGTCTTACTAAATTTATTAAGATTATCCTTTTAAGTGCAATTTTAGCCAATAAGAATTTCAACTATCAACTTAAAGATTCTGCTTTATTTTGCTGTTTATCTTAGAAGGTAACTTAGGATACAGATATTAAAATCGTATGTGAAAATATTCACTTGACCTATACTCCTAGGAACTCCTATTCCCTTGCCTACATGTCCTCAAAACTCCCCAAATGACTAGTTTAACTGGTTGCTAACGGAGTCTAGGTAAATCTCCATCTATTAAAAGCTTCATTACCAAAGGAAATCAAATGGACAAATGTTTATATGCCTCACTTAAACTGACTGCAATCTGATTTGCTATATTGTAGCCTATCAGATTGGTCCTATTCTACTGAGTCAGTATAATGTGGTTCAGGGTCTCTAGAACCAAATTTCCAGGATTCAAACCCACACTTCGCCACTTACAAGCTGTAAATTTACTTAAATTGTTAATACTTCTGTTTCTTCATCTGTAAAATGGGGCCAACGGCATCTACACCTCAAAGGGTTATTGTGCAGGTTAATGTGCATGCAAACTGCTCAGAACACTGCCTGACACAAAGTAAGCACTACGTTAAGTGTTATAGTTATTTAATTATTATATAATTTGCTTCGAATCTTTTTGTAGAAATGGGAAATAAACAATAAAATTGGTTAAATGAAGTATGTCCCATTTCTATATGAAATACTATTCATCCATTAGAAATTATTTCAATTCTCTAATATGAAAATACATTTATCTATAATGCCTAGTTGGAACAGGAGAGGAAAAAAGTTTTAAAAAATGTACAGCCTAATTTTAATTTTTAGAAAAGGTATTAAACAAGTTGTGAAAAGGTGCAAGTCACTGTGATATATAAGTGGCAATTGCCAAAAGCGATTCAGAGTAATTTATCATCCTCCCTCTTTCCCCAGGAAAAAGGCTTAAAATAAAACTTTGACTGTGATTCTAAAATGGTAAGTAATAGTACAGCTAATTGCATGCTATCAAGTTTTTTTTTAATTTTGAAACTGTGTACATTTAATATATTATTCCTCCTCTGCCCCCAAAAGCTAATACTTCTTGAAATTGGACAGCATCTTAGAATTAATTTCTAATAGATATACTACTCCAATTCCACCCATTACCAACACACACCACCATGTTCACTTTTAAGCAAACCCTTGAAGTTGCTCACAATTACACACAACAACACAGACAATAAATCAGCTGAACCAATCACACAAGCTTAGATAGCAGATATTAGGTACATTATATTGAAATTATAAACACAAAAGATGCAGCATTTCTAAAATACTGAACAAGAGGTTTTTGTAGCACTGATAGTATCCAGATGATAGCCTTTGGTACCCTTTAAACTTTTAAAATTCTGCGATGAAATCAATGCTATTAATTTCATGTTTATAGAGAATTTTTGTCAAGTTTATCAGTTTTAAAATGATCAATTCATAATCACTATTTAAAAATAAATTTTCCTCAACTAATGATTTTCATTCTGCTACCTACAGTTCAGCTTAGCCTTGAATATATGCTAGTCGTTTTTTATTTCACAAGGTCTGAAATATACAATTACATATAATAGACAAAATCTTTTCAAGTGTTTTCAAATGTTGCCTACAAAGAGTAGACCAAGTTTTCAAGTTTACACGACCACTATACTACACCAGTTTACCAATATAAATGTCTTCACACCCGTTTATTCCTATTAGACAGCAACACTAACCAAATTCTTAGTGCATATGCCCCCACTACCTGTACTCTTTTTCTATCCTAGCATTTTGACACATAAGAACATCTCTATTTAGCAACCAAGTTTTACAACCACTGTTCCTGCCAATCAAATGGTGATACACCAAGAGACCAACTGTTATTTTAACATATTAAGAGTACTAGATTATTTACCTAAGACTAAAGGACTGTGCCTTAGTTTATAAAAAAACAAAGATAGCCACATCAATTTAATTCCATATATATGATGCTACCTATTGAATTTATTAAAAATTTTAATAAACATAATAATCAAACTAGTGCTCCAAACTTAAGCTGTTCACGTGGAAGACAATACAAAAGAAGACACAACAGAGACTGCCTTGCAATAAGAAATACAATTCCTCCTATAGAGATGGAGAAATAAAAGGACAAATCTAGTTGTCTAAAAGACAATTCACTGTACACATTTTATTTACAGTTTTGTACACTGTCTTAATATGAATGGGACCGCTTTTCTACTTGAGCCATTTAAACCAAAGCAAAATAACCTAAGTAATACAAAGTGTTAAAATACAGCATAAAGATACAAAAACGGACATACTAATTCTAGTTAGGAATGTAATTATGATGTTACATTTTTAAAAATCCACAATTATGTTTAGGAAATCACACAAACATAGATCACTGATTTGAATGAAATGCATAAACTTGTAGCAAAGCTTTGTAGTTACAAAAAAACAAAAAAATTACCAAAGAATGCACAAAATTAATGTTTATTCCACCTCTGTGTCATATTCCTGGATCCTTCACCAAAGTTACATGAGGAAAAAAAACAAAAGCAAAACAAAATGAAAAACTGAAATCAGAATCACTAATGTTATCAAGTAGGGAACAAATAAATTAAAATCTAGCCGCCATCAGCAAGAGTACAGCAAAAACAATGCTGTAAAAAGAAACAAAGAAAATTGCTAGAAAACTGTATGCATCATACTCTTTCAAACCAGCAAAATATGCTCCTGCATACAATGGTACAGAAACAAATTTTTTTTCCTGTAAGGTATAGAAATGCAAGTTCTTTTTTGAATATTGTGGATGAGTAAATGTTTTGTAATGTGAATTCTACTAAGCTATTACAGAGTGGGCCAGGAACACATTTATGGATTCTGGGGATGATGTGTACTGTAATTCTTTGATTGGGATAGTAGATACTCTAGCCAAAATTAAAAAAAAAAAAAATGAACACAGAAGTACAAGACAAAGGCGATTGAGACTTCTCTTATATCTTAGCAACATTTAGATGGAAATCAAATTTAAATGCAGTCCACTCTGCTTTTGAAGAGGCTTTGGTTCAGCTCCCAAATCTCGATTGCTTGACGCAGTCTCCTATGAGAATACTCAGAAGGTGTCTTCTTAAACAACAAACCTATTTTTAGTGGTGGAGCCGCTCTTAGTAGCTGTGTCTGCATGGGACTGATAACCAATCACTATCTTTGGAGGAAGTCCTAACCTTTCCTTGTATACCCTCCTAGAAGAAGAAAAGAAAAGTAGCCATTACTTTTTATTCATTTCTTTAAAAATAGGTATTGTTTGTCTTTATATAATGCCTGGACTTGAGAAACTGCATACCCTTTGCCTATCAGCACAATTTACTCTTCGTTTTCACAACAATCTTGGTTAATCACTTAGTATTTGAGAGCCCACTATGAATCAGGGACTGTGATGATATCCATAAAACAATAGTGAGCAAAGCAGGGACAATCCCTGGACTCGTGGTGTCTACAGTCTACTAGGGAAAACACAATCAAATCATCAGAAATACATACAGTGAAGCTGTATCACATACATAGTTAAGTTACACAAAATCAATTACATGCACATCTATTCTCATTGTTTGACCTCTGTTATATGATCTAAAATACTACAGTTATATATTTTATATGTCACTGTTGTTGTGTGCCATCAATTCAATTCCGATTCATAGCGACCCTACAGGACAAAGAACTGCCCTATAGGGTTTCCTATCCTATAATATTTACGGATGAAGATCGCTAGGTCTTTCTCCTGCAGAGCTGCTGGTGGGTTCAAACCAATGACCCTTCAGTTAGCAGCTGAGCTCTTAATCATTATGCCACCAGGGCTCCTTTATATTTTATATATGAATCCTAGCAAATACTGTATACTAATGCACAATTACATTTACTCCACCTATCACTGACAAGATTGTGCAGACAGAAAAATTAAACACTTAGAGGGTGATTTATGACAATTTCGTGGTAATTTAGAACATATATGTTTTTTGCCTTGCACACTGACTGACTCCGGAGCCTTATTTTCAAGTAAGATATTATTCTATTGTAAAACAAAGTATGAAGAGTGCCAAAAAAAGGGTAAGAACAGGGGCTGTGATGCTGTCTAACAAGGAGGACCTAATCTCATCCAGGAAATTAGAGAAAGCTCTTCTAGGAAAAGTTATGAGATCAAAAGTATAATGCCAAAAGAACAAAGCACATCCAAAGGCCGAGGAACAAACATGAGGCTGTGGTGGTACAGCCCATGAAGAAAGTGATATGAAAGGTAAGGATAAAGAGGTATCCCAGGATAGGTTACAGAGGGCAATAGTTCACCTTAGGAATTGAGATCTTTTTTTAAAAAAATGGCAAAATTTAAGAAATAAGCAATAGAATAAAAAATAAAGGGAAACATTTTCACAGAGCTAAATTCTCCAACATGATACTAGCATAATTTTTTTCATGGATGACCTCTCCCTTCCAGAAGATTTTACTACCCTCCCCCAATAAACTGTGGAAGAATTATTTTATAACTAAAATTATAATTATTGTCAGATTTACAATTCCTGGCCTATGATATAATGCATTCTTCTCAATTATACTTAATCCATTAAAAATGCCTGAAAAGCAAGAATACTGAGCCATGCAAACTGGGGAAGGTAAAAAAAAAAAAAAAATCTTTCCTTAAAAAACTGAAGTCAGAATGTTTACGTAAGATTTGAAAAACTTTTAATGCTCACACAAATATAAAACTTTCAGAGGAAACCATATTTAATTTCTTTAACTCTCATTTCTCATTTTCAAAGCAATGTGAAACCCCACAATTAACAAGTTTTGAAGCTAACAAAAGAGTTTAGGAATACAATGACAAATCTACATTTAATTATTATTATGTTTTTTAACAGAAACTCATGAAAATGAAAACCTGGAAAATTCCTGTATCTTTTGTTTCAGAGAGGAATTACGTTCACATGAGAATTCATAATGTTTGAAAAAAATCACACACAAAGGGGACAAATCAAACATTTTGTCACCCATGACCAAGACTTAATATTAGCACAAAATTTAGTCATTTTACTAATTTAAAAGAAAATCCTAGTTAACACTAATGTTGAGGGGAAAAGACAACAAAAAACAGGTGATCATTTTTGCAAAGAATAAAATTTAAAATAGAAAGTACAAACAGGTTTCAGAAAAAAAGAATCACTTAAGTATTAATCTGTTTTTAAATATAGACAAAACCAAGATATGTCACTTAAATTTCAATAAAAAGTCTATGTATGTGCATACACACAAACAAAACACATATATACCATTTGCCAATACTCACTGATTTATAATGAGTATTGTACATTAGTGCTACAATTTCAAAGTAGGAAGAAGCCACTAAAAAAAAAAAAAAAAGTAGGAAGCAAGAATTGTATTCTCACCCTGTAAATGAATAAAATGCTACATGCCAAAGTAGAGAGCAATTTTACAGAAATGAAAAGACTATGAACAAGACATGAAACACCAATAGAGCAGTTCAAAGTTGTAAAAGTATACATGAAAACAACACAAGGAAACTATTTCTAAACCTCTAAATTAAATTACTTCTATTTTTAGGTATCTTAATATTGTCAAAAGAAGTAGGTAAACAGTAAAACTTACCCTATATGTGTAACAGCATCTCTGTTTTCACATTCAGTAGTCCATATTGCTATTTTATCACCTTTAGCTCTAACATTGACAACAGCTCCACATACATCATCACTGTAGTCATCAAAAGATTCTCCAATAAGGCACAGCAGCTTAAAAAAAAGCAACAAAAAAACCACAATCCCAAATTTACATTCAATAGATTATAAAACTGCAAATGTCTATTATACACAAAACTAAAAACAAACGATTTTCTTCTACATAAGCAGGTATTATTCTTCATTAATCATTACTATGTTATATTTGAAACTTACCCCATTTTAGTTGTTCTATTTTCCCATCACTTTTTAAACAAGAGTTGATTTTTAAAATGTCTAGATTCTATTTATACATATAGTTCTTTGTCCTGGCTTTTTAATGGGGAATTCTAAAATATCATTTATTGATAACATCCCCCAAAAGCAAAATTCTTATCTTCAAAAAAATCATTCATCAAATATTTATTAAGTGCTAACTATAAATCAGACACTGTGCCAAGTACTAGGGCTACATGGAGGAATAGACTATGAATCCTGCTCCTAAAATGCTGGAGTTTGGAGTCTCTGACTACAGAAAATGTCCACTATCTCATGTTTAACATATATCTTGTGAAGCCAAAATTCCAGACTATATCACAACATGTAAATTTAATGGTGTGTCGAGTAACAACTTCACTGTTTGCATCAATGGGGGTCCATAATTGTTAGGTTAACAAAATGACCAGGGTGAGCTTGTGGAAGGAAAGTCAATTGTCAGTCACCTTATATCTGATTTGTGGTGTGGCAGTGCTGTGGGTGGGGGTGGGAGTGGGTGTGTGGTGGTGGGGGGTGAGGGGGTGGCAGTGGTGGAGGTGGTGGTAGTGGTTTGGTTCACTGCACTAGTATGTAAAATATACAGAATTCACATGATAGAACAACAACAACAACAAAAAAATGCTAGCTTATATTTTCTAAACTGAGCATCCCATCGCTTCTCGGCCTTTTGGCTAAAATCAAATGTAGAATGAGCATCTTTATCTTCTATTAAGTAACCAACATAAAATATAGTGTAACTTAAGTTTCAGTATTCCAAAGCTGTACCTAAAACTGTTTTATAATTTTAAAACCTTACTGTCTCAAGCCAAAAGCGATCGAGGTCACTTCGTCTCTGCTGTTTGTTCAATGTAATTAGCCATCGTCCTCCCCGTTTGTTTTTCTCATCTTCCCACATGGGTTCAATACCATCCTACAGAGTTAGAAGAAAACAATACTAGACAATATTGTTACCCTGCCTTTGAAAGATAATCATTAGAAAGAGCAAATAACAACTCTGTTAACTTTTTACTTTATTCCTCATAAATGTAGTGGAAAAAAAAAAGCACACAAGACTTAAAGTCAAAAGGATGGTACCACAGAATTAAGAGTTCTGGCTTTATCACTTATACTTATCAAAGCTCGGGTTTCAAATTCTTATTAACTTTTTGAGTACCAGATGTCTTTGAGAAGCTACGTACACTTCTATGGAGTCCCTGGGTGGTACAAACAGGGCGGCTAACTGAAAGACTGAAGGTTCAAGCCCACCCAGAGGTGCCTCAGAAGAACGGCTGGCAAACTACTTCCAAAAAATCAGCCATTGAAGATACGGAGCACAGCTCTACTCTGACATACATGGAGTCGCCATGAGTCATGCTCAACTCAACAATAAGTGATGCTTGTAGGGGTGGTGGTACACTTTTATATCCAGAAAAATATGGGCAAAATTGTGTAATTTCAGAGTTAATGAATACCACATCCTCCCAGCCTTGACAAAGCCCATTCATGAAATCTCTCAAGGACCAATGCACCTCAGGTTAAAAATCCTTGACAAACTGTGGACTTTAGTGTTCTAACTATATAAAAAAAGGATTGGACTGGATGATCAAAGCTCTTTTGAAAATCAAGCACAGTCTGTGCCCAGAGAGTAAGATTCTCACTTAATGTCTGTTTACACTACAATAGGGCAAAATATATTTATGTTAAGGCCTAGTAAAGTCAATTTAATTATTAGCCCACTGGTCACAATATTAATTATTCCTAAGTATGTGGCAAGATTTCTTAATGAATACCTGAATGGTTCAGTCCTATAATAAATATATAAAATCACCAATTAAGCATACCTTAAAAAGTGAGTAGTCACAGCCAGGCATTAAATTACTAGACAACTGGATATGGTTGTACAGACTAGGTAAAAGAAAACAACAATTATAAACATAGAATATGTAACGCAGAATTTAAGCGATTACATACACATTTAGAGAATATAATGAAAAATAAACACAGAGTAAAAGTTTATGTTTATTTGATTTTCAGTGAAGTCAATTTCTGAAATGGACAAAACAGATCTTAATGGTTAGTTCAAGAATCAGCTTCTGATGCTATGTACTATTCTCAAGGAAAGATTTTTAATGAGTTTAACCTGACAAAAAATATTTTAATGTAGTTAATTTAATGCACATATATATATGTATATATTAAAAACTGAGAACAGAGGTATGAGGTGACTTCAAGTGGGTGAAAAAATTTGAGACTAATAAGCAGATTTGTTTGTTTACGCACACAAAAAAAAGACATTAAGCAAGATAAAGCAAGATGAACTTCCAGACCATCAGGATTGCACGACTGAAATAAATTAACATTATTATTCTTTAAGGTATTCAAGAGTATTTATAACAGGCCAATGGTTCCCAAACACCATAGACCGTTAATGGTCTGTTGGCACAATATGATGATTTGAGAGTATTTTTTTTTTCACATAACGTATTTCCAGGCTCTACTCTTTGAGATTTTGGTTCCTTAAATAAGAGATAGAACCTGGAATCTGTATTTTTAAACTATATCCCAAGTATCAATTTAACAGAGTAACATTCGGAATAACTTAGATATTCACTAGCCTGAAGGTAAACGACTAAATAAATCATTTGATCTCCTGTAGCTTTTTTCTTTTGTTTTTTAATAGCAAAACTGTCTTAAAATTAGCAATGGGTAAGAATGCTTTGCTTGTCTACAATCCTAGATGACAGAAATCATGAGCTTAGCTGTGTATCTACAGACCATGGATAATTCCCTTATCCTTGACCAGGTTTGTTTGTTTTTTGTTTTTTTTTTAAATCCCTATTTTAACCCAATCTAGGAATATTTCAAGCAGAGTTTCAAGAAAGAATTTAGCATCCTTTAGGTCATATTCCACAGGATAACACACAAATCCAGTTTGTCTGAGACAGCCTAAAACCAAATGATGTTTGTTGAGTGATTCTAAACAATGGCCACTCTTCCAAACCTACATAATCACTGAAAGCTTCCATTAGGCAACAGAGGAGTGATCCTTCAATGGCATCCAAGGTAGAAAAGACTAATGCTTCTTTCTGATGCCTCCTTTCTCCTTCATGATGCTCTAAAGTATCTTAATGTTGAGTCTATAATGAGAATTTGTAATGGCACATTTAAACAGAACCCTAAAACTAGAGACTGGATAAACTCTAAAGGGCTCAATGGTTGTTTGCACTAATTTTGCTAGAAAACAGTGAAAAATAAAGAAGTGATTTAGATATTTTTAGAAAGGTGAAGAATGCCTTCATATCTCTAAACAAACTAGATAATACAAATCTGATTCCGAAGGGAAAAAAGGATCAAGACTCTTTCACCTCACCCTCCACAAGAGACTGGAGTGTTTTTACGTTTTAGAGGACACTTGAATAAACACAAATTAGAGAGGAAAAATATCTGATGTTTTGATGAAGGGTAAAGCAGTAATCCTAGTTTGACTAAACAATTAGACCTGTGAATTAGTGGGGCTTAAATGCAGTTCTATTACATTAAAAAACAAAACAAAACAAAAAAAAAGGCCAACACTTTAAACAAAAACTAACCACTCTAAAAAATGGTTTGCTCACAATTTAAACTTTTCCTTAATTATTCTACGATTTGCACTGTTTAAGAATCAAAATGCATATTAAATATCTACTGCAGACCAAGCACTAAAGACAACAGAGTAATATGGTTTTTGTCCTTGAGGAAGCGGGCATCAATTAATTTTCTGACCACAATCCATTTATTTCTTTGGTGTGGGCTTAACATACTCAAGGCATTACATTAAAGCATAAGAGTAGCATCACTGACTCAGCATATATACGATCCTAAAATAAACTAGATGTACAAATTACAATATCTATGTAATTGCTAGGTAATTTAAAGTCCTTAAAAAGATTTAGGTTTCTTTCATGTTCTCAAATAGTTTCTCTATATACATTCAACAAAGAAGACACAAATTAACTTTGTTTATAGAGAACCAATATTCCAAAACTTCTTGAAAAAGACTTTACAATTTAAAATTTTAGCTAAATCTGATATGAAATCTCAAAAATATTTCAACTAACCTTCCTAAAATTGACACAAAGTATAAAGAAATTAATAAACTATGGTCACAGATACTGTCCTTCTCTTGACAAGCACAGGATTTTTAGCATTTCAGCCTTCAGTACCTTAGAATCCCTGGCACAGGAAATCCCAGATGTTTCACAAGAAACCGAGTCCTAACAAGGTTCCAGAAAACCCAGTTATGGGGCAAATGTATCCAGGCAACCAGAAAGAGGGCAAGTTTCAAAGGTTCTGGGACTATAAACGGCTCTCAAATGAAGGATTATTTTCTTGTTGACAACTCATAGTGATCCTATGTACAAGAGAACAAAACACTGCCTGGTCCTGCGCCATCCTCACAATCCTTGCTGTGTTTGAGCCCACTGTTGTAGCCACTATGTCAATCCATCTCACTGCGGGTCTTCCTCTTTTTTTTGACGACCCTCTACTTTACCAAGCATGATGTCCTTCCCAGGGACTGGTCCCTCCTGATAACATGTCCAAAGTACATGAGACAAAGTCTCACCATCCTTGCTTCTAAGGAGCATTCTGGCTGTACTTCCAAGATAGATCTGTTCATTCTTTTGGCAATCCATGGTATGTATATTCAAAATTCTTTGTCAACACCATAATGCAAATGCATCAATTCTTCTTCAGTCTTCCTTATTCATTGTCTAGCTTTCTCATGCACCTCAGGCGACTGAAAATACCATGACTTGGGTCAGGCACATGTTAGTCCTCAAAGTGACATCTCTGCTTTTTAACACTTTAAAGAGGTCTAATCCCATATCTCACACCATGCACAAAAACTAACTCAAAATGGATCAAAGACTTAAATATAAATTCAAAAACGATAAAGATCATGGAAGAAAAAAATAGGAACAATGCTAGGAGCCCTAATACTTGGCAAAAACACAATACGAACCAATGCACAAGCACCAGAAGAGAGATTAGATAAATGGGAGCTCCTAAAAATCAAACACTTATGCTCATCAAAAGACTTCACCAAAAGAGTAAAAAGACAACCTACAGACTGGGGGAAAAATT